TTTTTTAACAAAATTGATAAAAAAGAAAACTCGCTAAAATTCGTGATTTATCTTATTACGATGTACCATACACACTTAATATCATCCTTGATACTCCAGGGGTGACGTCACTTCCGCTCCCTGCAACCCTGGAACATTCATGGCAAAATTGAAGGTACAAAAGAAGTAATCTTACTTGTCTAGAACGAGTTTTAGGAGAAAAAACTGACCAATCACATACTGATAAGCTCCTTTGAAGATTACGAAGTAACAACGCCCAGCTTCAAAGCCAGGACAACATACCTTTATGCGACCTCGAAATTCGTTTGATGTACGTCAAAGGATCAAACTAGTCTTCTCGTCTTATCAACACGGTGTCACACATGGAGCTCTCGATTAAATTTACACTTGGTGTGTTTATTGTCCAGCATGTAAGGTGACGTGCTATTAAAACATTACAAGACGCCTACTGCAGTAATATATTGATATCGGGTTTCACTTTTTTATTTTGATAAAAAAATTCTTGCTGTAAATGTTTCAACAATTCAGATGCAGCCAAAACGCTAAGAGCAATAACATTATATAACACAAAGTATCGTAATCAATACCGTTTACGTAATTACATCTATGATCGGTTTTATTACAATACACATAGCGATAATGCATGAACTTTGATGCTTTTAAAATCAAAATATATGATCCGATATTTACATCATATTCTATGTTGAGGTATTAATTTATCTTGATGTCGGTGTTACCAAAATTCGATAAAGGCGAAAAAGGAAGTGGAAATAGATAAATGATATCCAACTTTAACACTACGTGGGTTGAATAGTAAACGGAATAGGACACAAAAATGGAACCCTGGGGAACAGTTAGATTCATATATTTCAGAAGGTGAAACATTTCAGTAAATTTGTCACAGTGTTCAAATGAAGCGCTATATTTCCATGCAACTCCCTGTGGATAATATAGTTTCTGTCACGAATTTAGATTTAGATAAACAGAATTTTATCTAGATATTACTGTTTTCTATTTTTTTTTTTTTTTTTTGATAGATATTAATATCTAAGTTCGTGATAGAATTTAGATAAGAGCGGAAACGAATTAACGCAATAAAGCACTGAAACAATTTAAGATTACTTAGTCAATTTTCACACGTAAGGTATGAAAAATATTTATGAAACTAACAAGGAAATCTGAGATGCAGACAACTGTCATGTCAAAAAGGACCCGACAACTTAAGCTTCACGGCAACGAACATGTAATAACGGCAACGATATACATCTTATATATAATTATAACAATTGTAGCACGACATAATTCAACTGACATTAATCGTTCTTATTGGCCCCGATGAAAGCACGAGCTGTGTTATTGCTGGTCGGGTGGTACGGTAGTAAAAAAAAAAAAAAAAACACATTTAAGAAAACCAGAGTGCCCGGTGAAAACCCACGTGGTCATCCCATATCTTTTTATGTTAGTTTGAGTAATGAACCCATGGTCGCCTATGACTAAAAGACGAGTGCATTTCCAATGCGGATTTAGGACGTTTTGTCGTTAAGTATGAAAGGACAGATATTGGGGTAAATTAGAGCAAGCTTAAACTGGTCTTTCCTGTGGATAAGGAAGTCGGCGAAAATAGGAGACAGGACAAAACGAAAGCTAGATTTGAAATTAAAGGCACTTCAGACTCGTTAACCTCCGTCTCGTTATCTTCCTGAATAGTGACTATGCTATTCTAGCTCTCTAATGTCTATAAAAAAAACTTAAACTCTTGTATTGGCCAATCAGCTATCTTTTTGTGAAAATTAAGGTGTATTCTATTAAGTCCGAACACACTAGATATATATAAGTTGTTGAAATCCGATTGCAATTTCTTCTTTTCTAGACAAACAATTTTTTTAATTCTTTGGTGACTAACTCGAAATCTGACTATGGAATCATCTTCTTTTGTAATGGTAACTTCTGATTTACAATATCGAATTTCAACTCCCGATAGAATTAAGACGTATTGAATATAAAATAATGTTAACAATATATATATATATATATATATATATCTGAGATAATCATGCGAATCCGTAATGATGTCATTTGACCTCCGTCTGGATTTCCGTTGATCCTGGTCAAAATAGAGTGCATACACATCACCGAACAAATCTCTAATACATATTTTTTTCATTAATGCATTTACAACATATACTACGCAACCTTAATCACCGTTGCTGGATGAAAATGAAAAAAAAAATTCAGCATTGACAAGACAGTTGTAATAGTGTTACTCGTGCTTGTGTTCCAACAGGTAGATGCTATGCTGGGAAAATTACCTGTTGGAACTTGGGCTCTTAAACATGAGACATTACCGAGAAAATTCTACAGAGATTTTAACAAATTTAATTTTTGAAAGGTCTATGGGCAATGGGGAATTTAAACAGTAGATTTTTTTATATAGAATACAGTTAAACGGGATATCTTGTAAAAGAAATGGTTCCCCTTTTCCTTTTCTCAAAATGACGGTAATTGAAATCCATGTCTTCATAAATGTACCAATGTGTTAGTTGACTTTGAGGTAATTATTTCTATGTCTTTCCGCCATCCCGTGAGTACCAAATGACCTTACGACGTCATACTTGACATTTTGAATTGGACATATAGCAAATTAAAGCGACACAACCAAAGTCATCGTTTTCTTAGCAACTGGTCTTTTGTTATAATATTTTAAATTAATACTATTAAATGGGGCTGTTAAATCTCGAGAAACTGTTGACACTGCGGAATATCCTCTAGACTGTTCCTAAGGGTACTTCTGGTTGAAACTGTCTGAGCATCGAGCGGACTGGGAAACCATTTACGTTTGTTAATACAATCAACTGATAGGGCGTGCCATCAAAATCGTTATTGCATATCAACGGGTATAATAAGGAAAATATACGTGATGGTTATAGTCCATTTTGGATCTGGCAGAGACGATATTCCTGAAATAATAGCTTAAATTGCTTAACTTGATCTCAGTGGAAATATATATATATACATACATATATAAACATTCGGGTCTTTCCGTTTGACATCGTAAATCAAAGACGGAAATTCCGATCAATAAATGAAACTTCCGAATGTCTCTAGAATTTTCGTGTTTAAAGCATCTGCTTATATCATTCTGGGCAGCTTTCAAAATATTTTGAATATACGTTTATTTGTAGCAGAGGGTTGTGTTTGTCTGTAAAAAGAGTAGTTGCCTTTAGCTTGTAAACGATGGTAGGCACGTTTTTGTCCTGGTCCAAATAATACAGACATGTCCAATTGTCCAACTTCATATTCGTTTTTGAATTAGCACAAATGTTTAGTCTTCAAACTATTGACGTGACGCCATAAACTGATGGAAAACTGAGCTTTCCGTAGCGAAAATGGACACAACTTGATTTCCCGTCCACATTCGTTGCTATGAAAATGTTAAATATCTTTGCCGCCATAGATTCGGAACTACATATATGTATCTGAAAGAGCAGAAAAGAGAGCCATCTATCAGCAACGTATTGAGCGCTCCGGGTGGAACCTTTAATCTATAATTAAGAACGTCTCTTACTCACGTGAAACGCTCACCCGAGTCTGACACTTGTATAATTGAAAATTGATTTGTTTGTTTCATTTATCGAATTGCTTTTCAAATTAGCAGCTCTTGATCATACAAATGATCGGCAGCTAGTTAGCGATGGCTTTTGTTGATGGCGAATTGTACACATTACCAATATGTCGCTGGTATCGTATTTCTTCGTTTTACCAAGATACAATCAACAACAAGCACAACTGTAAACGTAAAGGTAGTATACACACCTAAGGCTATAAGGCAAAGCCGCATCATGTTTCAAACATTTAAACAGCATTACATCGAAATCTATCGAACAGCAAATGGAACTAATAGCGACGCTTTTGGCTTAAGGCTAATCCTACCTTATTTATTTTACAATGACCACAGACTTGAAAGGGTGAGCAAATAATAAACAAATAAATAATACTGTTAACTATAGTTTGTAGTTCCTATACCTACACAAACACATGTGTTTTTTTTTCAACAAGCTTTTCTGTTTTACACTTTACACTCAATAACAAATTATTTTTAAAAGGACTATTTTATTCGGGAGCACTGACGTGCGGCGTCACGGCGGGGTACGTCATTTCCTTTCGCCAATCTGTCAATCAGTGCCACGTAGCCCATTCACAGCCGCGGATTGATCGGGTCGTTACCATGATAGCATTTGTTGGCACGACTTTACAAATACACTGTTCAAGCCGAGTTCTCATCGTGTCATCCCCGACTGGACGCATATACAGACTATATCATTAAGTGAAATGTATCCTAATTCCGGCTTTACTACAGGAAATATCTATCACTAAATATATATGGGCAGTAATGAATTTGCAATATAGAATAATGGGGTAAAAAAGTTAACGTTTCAAACAAAAAATGACATCGCCGTTTAAAATTATCTGTTAAGTGGGAAATGTCATTCAAATCCGTGTCAATTTAATTCATTTTAAAGAAATTTACGAAAGTATAATATTACTAAATGATTATGGATAGACATGCGCAAGAGTTTATATATACCGGAACATCATCCTCTGTAACCTGGACGTGTTCTTTGTCGCCATAAAATGTATATTGACAAATTCTTTTTAAAATAAATCACTGTTCATAAATATTTACTGTTCAATATTACAAAAATATTAAAGTTTTTAGATATATGTTTGTCAAGCAATGTTATTGATCGAAAAAATGTAACTCTCATTGCCATGCAGTATAATTCTGCCAACTAACATATCTGAAAAAAAAAAACAATAGATAAAAATTTGTTTGAAGACAAAGACAAGTATACCATTCAACAACATAATTCATAATTCAGGTGACAATCTTACGGGTAATATCTCACAAATGACGACGGCTAAAAAATTAAGTCACATGACAACGGCTTCATCACACAACAATTTAGTCAAATGACGACGGTGTCACCAAACAAGAAATTATGTCACTTGACGACGGCGTTACCACACAACAAATTAAGTCACTTGAAGATGGCGTCACCACACAACTAATTAAGTCACTTGACGACGGCGTCACCACACAACAAGTTAAGTCACATGACGACGGCGTCAACACACAACTAATTGAGTCACTTGACGACGGCGTCAACACACAACTAATTAAGTCACTTGACAACGGCGTCACCACACACCTAATTAAGTCACTTGACGACGGCGTCACCACACAACAAATTAAGTCACTCGAAGACGGCGTCACCACACAACAAATTAAGTCACTTGACGACGGCGTCACCACACAACAAGTTAAGTCACATGACGACGGCGTCAACACACAACTAATTGAGTCACTTGACGACGGCGTCACCACACAACTAATTAAGTCACTTGACAACGGCGTCACCACACACCTAATTAAGTCACTTGACGACGGCGTCACCACACAACAAATTAAGTCACTTGAAGACGGCGTCACCACACAACAAGTTAAGTCACATGAAGACGGCGTCAACACACAACTAATTAAGTCACTTGACGACGGCGTCACCAAACAACAAATTAAGTCACATGAAGACGGCGTCAACACACAACTAATTAAGTCACTTGACGACGGCGTCACCAAACAGCAAATTAAGTCACTTGACGATGGCGTCACCAAACAACAAATTAAGTCACATGACGACGGCGTCAACACACAACTAATTAAGTCACTTGACGACGGCGTCACCACACAACAAATTAAATCACATGACGACGGCGTCACCAAACAGCAAATTAAATCACATGACGACGACGTCACCAAACAACAAATTAAGTCACTTGACGACGGCGTCACTACACAACAAAATAAGTCACATGACGACGGCGTCACCAAACAACAAATTAAGTCACTTGATAACGGTGTCAACACACAAAATATTACAATGGAAATCACACGACGGCGTCACCATGCAATTGGTTTTAATATATGATGACACGTTTCTTACTGATTCCCTTTGCAGTGTAGAAGGAATGACATCTCATCTTGTCACATCTTAATCTTTCTTTTAATAGTACCAAATACACTTAAAACCAGACGATTGCTGTGTAGACATTTGTTGTTCAAAGGGATAGAGGTGTATTAGGTTGAATAAACGGCAGTATAAAAACATTGGTGCTGTGTGCTTACTAAAAGCAATGCCCCCTCCCTCTTTTTTTTTCTTGTATTTTTAATTTCACCAATTGAGTGAAAATTTGACCCCACACCACGATCTAACTGTTATGGCCTTTGGAGTAGTTGTCAAATGAACCTGAAGTACTCTAATCGAGTAGCCCCTTCGGCGGTGCGGTGATGGAGGGTCATCGACGAAAGAATTACCGATCATTACCGATCATTACCGAGTTACAAAAGATGCGACGAATCGAAAGTCGACAACATCATTACATGTCTGCGACATTGCCGAGTGGTTTCTCGAGATAAAATCAGAATTCTGCTTAAAGATAGCACTCGACATGTGCTAGTCTATCAAGATACTATCTTATAATTATTTATTAAAGAAGAGAAAGAGAATAAATAGAGAATAAATCCGATTATCCGGAATACCTGTTGTTTTGAGGTTTATAATATCAGCTTTACCTGAGGTCGTACATGTATATAATCTCCGGGTTGGACGTCAATAGATCAGACTCGGCCGAGGTTTAGATCTGGCAGAGATTGATTGCATTGTAATTCTAATGTATGAGGACAAAAGTTGGATATGACAGTCCAACTGTGCATCTGAAACATCAATTTATCTTAGCCTGGGGAGTCGTCAGGTTCTTTGCTATTTAAGGGGCTCGAAAGGTGTTTTAAGATGTTGTTGAATAACACATATAGCCTGTACAATGATATTACAGAAATCATTTTTAAAAATTCTACCTATATGTATATCGGGTATGTGCTACTGAATCGTTTCCTTGTCGTACATTTTCCCATGAAAATATTTTCTTCTTCTTTTTCTACTACTACGACTACTACTTTTTCTCCTTCTTATATAAAGTTGTAAATCTGTTCAGACAATTTGACAACTGACAACATATCAAAAACTGGAAATAAGTTTCTTATTAATCCAATAGAACTTTTAGACGATTTCAGAAATAAAAACATTTCAGAACTCGACGTTTAACGTGTGTGTCGAAAAGTGTGAAGATCAAGATAAAAGTGTGTATTTTTTTCTCGCAGTATCACGATTTCATCAAAATTTCCACGCTTTATTAGCACACTCCATCAATTCCCATCGGGGCCTCTGAAGTGATTTGTTTCACCTGCTTTTCAAATACACCTGTGAAAAACACATATTTCATTTTTCGTGATCACTCACCGTGACCAAGGCACGAAGGCGTGAAGGAAGTCAATCTAGATTGATATGTCTTGACAACATGATGATCTCTTAGACTTAACCGTCTCTGCGTGCGCACTCATCCTGGTTCTTATTTTAGAGAAATAGACAACGCGCGTGCAAGCTGCGCGTGTTCTAAGTCATTAGAATTTACGAGACATTGTTTCTTTTGAGTTAGATAAATCCTATACCGTCCAGAATGCACGATAGACCAGATTGAAATTATTTTAACCGGGAGTATTTAGCTTTATCTATCCGATCTATGAAATTCATTATGAAAGCGATGCAAATCTCTTCTATCTGATTCTTGAGGCCTAATTTTTTTGTGGTTGTAAAAAAAATTCGATACATTGAGAACAACGGGACTTATATAAGCTGCTGGCAGTTTAGCTATCAGATACAAGACTAGGCAATGCTACACATTATGTCCTTTCTGCACGCAATTCAGAAAATGTCGTTGAGGTTATTCATAATTATTCTATTTTTCTGTTTCCCAAATTGTCTTACCTCAGATTGTCTTTCTAATTAAACCGTAAATATTGGATTCGTCGCTTACTATCCATAGATCCTTTCCGCGGATAATTTCCGGAATTAATCTATCAAATTCCGATTCATGTGAGGCTCCTGGAAGGTTTTTCGTTTGATGGTAATCTCTTACTCTTCTAGACTGTAAAACAAACAAAAAAATCTACTCTGATATATAAAATCTAGATTCTTTAAAAGCTACTTTGACTAAAAAATGAATTACTTACAATTCTTGACTTAACAGGAATCGTAATTTTCTATGAATTCTCGCATCGCATTGAAGAGGACGTATCGTTACGGTAATTAACTAAAACAATGGAGATTCTCCTTCTCAAAAAAATGCATTTGTATATCGCATATGTCTGTAACTCACAAGAAAATTATTTACAATTTTGAGATGTACATTTGTATATAAAGTTTACGTTTAACATTCTCCATATTTTCACAAGCACATAAAAATAATTTAAAGAAATTTTACCCTAGAGTAGCCTATTGTTCTGAACCGACACGCATGCATGTTCTTAGGTTTGTTAAGGCGTGTATGTATCTGATTACATAATTACATAAATAGTTACGTGTGATGTGATTATCACGTGCGAGCAACATCTAATTATTCCACCACAGGTGTTAAAGGCCTTGTTCGAAATAAAGATAATGAAAAAAAGACAAGATGAATTTCTAAGATTTAAAGTTTATCGTGATTTTTAGCAAGTTTATCAAGACCACACCTGTTCAACGTTATCAGATATTTCTTTGTCACAACATCTGTGACAAAATCACCGAGACCAATACCACACTGAAATATTTTCATTTCTTTTGATTCCGAATTTGTTAAAACATTTCCTTTTTTCAATATTTGTGTTCCAGAGTATAGTTTCCTCGAGGAACAATGGTTTTGGTCCTACGCACTTTCTCAACACTACGACAAATTTCGCTTTTTTGTGAAGTTTTATGTGTTAAACATTGACATTGCAAGTGATAACGCAAATCAACAACTATCGAGGTAGAATTTATTTCTGTCAAGTTTTTTTATCCTCTGTTGATGAATGGAGGATGATGAATGGAAAGAAGATGAGGGAAATGACATAACTAGCAGATCGTCAAATACCTCTTATGGGGGTGGGGAAGATACGGTGTGTATGTGCAGGTGTGCGTTGGGGTGGGCGATGGGGGCGGGTATTCTCGGCTTCATTCTTTTGTCTTCGGTCATCAACACAGAATTCTTTCGATTTATTCCCATGAATGTATAACTCTATACTGTTTTGAAATCCTTTTTCTTCTTCTTCTTCTTCTTCTTCTTCTTCTTCTTCTTCTTCTTCTTCTTCTTCTTCTTCTTCTTCTTCTTCTTCTTCTTCTTCTTCTTCTTCTTCTTCTTCTTCTTCTTCTTCTTCTTCTTCTTCTTCTTCTTCTTCTTCTTCTTCTTCTTCTTCTTCTTCTTCTTCTTCATCTTCTTCTTCTTCTTCTTCTTCTTCTTCTTCTTCTTCTTCTTCTTCTTCTTCTTCTTCTTCTTCCATCTTCTTCTTCTTCTTCTTCTTCTTCTTCTTCTTCTTCTTCTTCTTCTTCTTCTTCTACCAATATTTGTACGAATCGAATTATTTTAAAATGCTTTGGGAGATATTTGATAAGCTTCTTTTCGTTTTAAGCTCAGGTTTTTAGAAGGTTTCGCCATACATGAAGATGTTTGTTTGTTTTTCTTCCAGATAAATGGAGGTTAAAGGAAGCTGTTTTGTGTTGTTTTCTCAGCTGTGTATGGTTTAATGAAACGTTAGATCAGCTATTGACGGAAGTCTACCATGATGCCTTGGCAAACTTAAGCGTATCTCACATACATAATTGTAGCATAAATGTATGAGAACATTATATAATGTTAAGAATAGGAGAACTGCTTTTCTGTAAAGTTTCAGTTTTAAAAACAGGTTTTTATGAATTTGTTTATTCTTACATGAGAAAACACGTTTTTAACACAACCCTCCCCCTTAAAAAAAAAAGAGAAAAAAAACACAAAATAGATAAGAAAATCGACATTTTTTACGGGCACAAACGGAATTGGCCAGTCGACATGGGTTTGTCTGCTATATTTGTTCCATGAGGTCACGCCCTTGTTGACTAAAAAGGTGACCGCTGGCAAACGTGTTTCCAGGTGCAGGGCTTGACCGGTCACATGTTTTTGCTGCCCAGACGTCACATTATATATTATTCAATTAATAATCCCCCTGATCGCCATAAATTTAGCATTTGGGTGTCTGTATTGTACCCATTACACTGTGGTAAGTGTGATTAAGCCTATGTATTTTGGTCTATGAACGAACGCCTTTACATGAACAAAGAATCATTAGCTTACATAATTAATGAATCGACATTTTCGAACTTTGGCGAAAATCATGCCAGCCGATGTTACAATCATTATACCGAATTGATTAGTAACCATGGCAAAAATTACCTTAGCTAAGACACATTACATTGGTAATTAAAGATTGTATTTATTTAGATTTCAACCATAAAAAGCCTTTTACCATACAGTAGATGAGATTTTAAAAATATCTCTTTTCGAAATCAATTACGAATTGGTTAACGTATAGAATGTTTGATTTGCAAGCACAATTCAGGTAACAGATTTGCATTGTTTCGTCTTTTAGTAATTTAGATAATGCAAAGAGTTAATAAATAAATAAACAAATAAATAAATAAGACGTCCTAAATCTCATCACGATTCTGCCTAGGAATCTTTTTGCTCTTGTAGAGTGAAATTTGACATTTCTCTCAACTTGTTCCTTCACTATCTCGCCTAGTGTTGGCGAGTCCATAACTCTTTCATTAATGTACGTTTACAAAGGAGTTGATAAGGTTTTAAAATGTCAGATGGGGTTAAAAATGACTCTTATCCTACCATATGCCTTGACAAGCGTCAGGACGACAAAAAGTCCTCGATATGACGAAGTTTGCCTGCTGATTTATTGTTAACCGTTATTCGACATATCTAATGAAGTGTAACTTTGTATATCGAGTTTAGGAATGTTTAATACTTCTCAGCTATGCATTTTTTTTCAATCTATAAAACATTATCTAATTCCGATTAATATATGATAGAC